ACTTACCTTGGACATTAACTGGAGTTCTTTGAGAATAAGTGTTCCATTTAGGTGCACATGTGCCTTTGATTTGAGACTTTTGGTAGAGTGTCTATTCAGTCTGCACATGTGCCCTTGTTATATTTGTACCCCATCCTAAAGATATATAGGGCAGTATCGGACAAACTGTCCTCAGTTATTTCTTTCCTGCGAAGTCCACAAGGCAAAGACAGTGAAGCAGAGGGAAAGGAGGGTAGGTGGTGGAGCATCCATAGGGACAAACTCAGAGAATTCCAGTTACTGTACCAGGTAAGTAATCTCTTCTTAAAGTATTGCCCCTACTGGTGCTCCACTTCAGATGACTCCCAAACAGACCCTCTAGGAGGTAGGGGCTTCGGAGACAGATCTAAGACTATCTGGAAACTGCAGAACCACAGGCAACAAATGCCCTGGTGTGAACTAGAACATAATATTTAGAAAAGGTGTGAACCAAAGCCTATGTTGCAGCTTTGCATATTTCTGCAATTGAAACATTCTTTGATAGGGCTGTAGAGGTAGACTGTGATCTAGTGGTCTGGGCTGATACCCAAGGAGGGGATTGGATATTCGTGGCTTTGCAACAAGAGAGGATATATTGAGAGAACCACTTAGAAAGTCTCTGAGTCAAGACAGGAGCTCCACTAACTCTATGTGTGAAAGAGACAAACAATCTGAGGGAGGCCCGAAAGAGTTTAGTCCTTTCCAAATAAAGGGCTAATGCTCTTTTGATATTTAGGATATGAAGAGAAGCTTCATCTTTAGTTTGGTGAGGTTTGAGGTAGAAAACCAACAGCTGAGTGACCTGGTTAATGTGGAACTATGTAGTGACCTTAGGTAAAAAGGGAGGGTGTTTTCTTTACAATAGGTGGTGTAGAGAGGGTCAGTCATTAAAGCTCCTAATTCTCCTACCAGATATAATAGCCACTACGAATGCAGTTTTCTTATAGAGGTGTAGAAGGGATCCACTGGTTCAAAAGGAAGTCTCATCAGGGCACTGAGGAACAAGCTTAAATCCCATGTCAGGGTCAGTTGTCTAAGATGTAGTAAAAGGTTTGATGAAGGTTTGGTAAATCAAGAAGTGGTAGGGTGAGCAAAGATTGAGAGTCCTTTGACCACAGAATGGAAAGCTGTAATTACCTCTAAATGAACTCTAACAGAGTCTGGCCATGTCTACACTACCACTTAATCAATATAACTTACGTAGCTCAGAGGTGTGAAAAAGCCACCTCACTGAGAGACACAAGTTACAGCAACCTAAGCACTGTGCACATCTTTGCTATGTCGGTGGGAGAGGCTCTCCTGACAACATAGCTTCTGCGTCTAGTGAAGGTGGAGTAATTATACCAAAGGAGAGCTCTCTCCTGTCAGCATAGAGTGTCTTCACCAGACAAATGAAAGTAGTGCAGCTGCACCGATGGAGTGCTTCTAGTATAGACTAGCCCTTTGGGTGATGACCCAAGCCCCCTCTTGAACAAAATTTCCAACACTTCCTACTGAGGCAGTGGCAAAGAGGTCTAATTCTGGAAGACCCCAGATAAGGGCAGGAGCACCCCCAGAACTTTTTCACATGATACACACAATGCATAGTACCTGTGGGGGTCCAGCCCAAATTTCTTCTCCAACCAAACTCGCGTCTGGAGCAAAGAAACAAAATGGAGTCACCCACCGAGACCCATCATTGGGCCTTTGGCAAAAGCTCCTTGTGTCTGTTCCTCCAATGCTGCCTGACATTCTTGTCCTGGCCAGCTACCACTTGTGGGCACTCACTACAGCTCCCCATACTTGTAACAAGTCTAGAGGCTGTAGCCGAGTGAGTCCTGTGAGCAGAGCTGTGGTCGGTGGAGACCCCTTGAGTTCCCACCAGACCACAGTTTGGATTGCTTCCCTTCTCTGACACTCACAGAGTCCTTCCCTTGCTTGGGGTATACAAGAGTAAAGCTAGACAAAATAAAGGTCTTTCCCCCTTCCCCAAGGATGAGGGGATCAAAGTAAAGAAAGGAAAAAGGAAAAAAAAGAGTGCTCAGTCTCTTGGGCAGTTTCTCATTCACCTTTTGGGGCCCAGCTTGTTGGTAGACTTTTTATTGTCCTGATCAGGGTTAGAGTCCATCCTGAAACACCCCTCCTCCTTTTGGTAGCTACAGATACCACTGAGGGAAAAAACTTCCAGCGCCAGTGCATGTGATGAGCACACACACCTACAATGGAATGGACATGAGCAATCACTCAAAGAAGAACCAGCAGTCTCTGAGTCTTCCCCTAGTTGTCACCCCTTTCTGTGACAGGTTTTCCTTTTTTTAAGGCCAAGTAAGCCCTGCAGGTGTGCCTGGTTAGTGCTGCCTGGACCCAGAAGAGCTCATTGGCTTCCTTCTTTGAAGAACTTGTTAGCTTCCTCCTCAATAGGTGAAGGCATGCCAGCTCACCTATCCCACTCCTCAAGTTGTAAGGACAGTCTTGACGCAGGTCACCTCCGTCTACTATTTCCCGCAGAAAAAAAATTGACTCTAATGTGGTCCTGTCTCACCTGGTGTTTCACCCTGATGCCGTTGGACTGTAGCATGAGACACCACCACATTATATGCAGGTTCAGATCTTTCATAGTATGGAGCCAGCATAGAGGAACATGATCAATGATCAAGGAGAAGGGACTGCCTAGCAGGAAATACCTGAGGGAATCCATGGCCCACTTAATCGCTAATGCCTCCTTTTCTCTAAGTATAGGATCACTCCTCTGTTCCTCCACAAACCTCCTACCCTGAAAGTTGATTACCTCTTCCTTTCTTACTTCCCTACAGGGTTTATGACCTTGTTGCTTGTGATGTGCTCTCCTTAGGGTCTTCCAACTTTCCAAGGTTTACCAGGCTTTGGGGTTCGTTCTGCAATGACCAATCTGGACCCCTGTTCACTCGGTGGGCCTGTTTGTTAATGACTTGCCAAAAATGCCCAATCCCAGCCTATGATTATAGGGTAGGCCAATTTCTCAGCCAGAGCTACGGTTATAACCTTGGTATGTGTCCCCGTGGTCAGTTGTAAACACTGGTTGCGGTAAGCTTTCACATTGCCATGTATACACTATAGATGAATCAAACCTTTATGAGTACCATCATCCCATACTAAGGAGGCTTGGTGCACTGACGACTGTCTGACTACAGGTGGAGTCCAAGAGTCCTTGAACTCCCTTCCTCTGGACCATCACTGGCACCATCAACTTGGGGAGAATCCTTTTCAATAGGTGGGTTTCTGCAGTCCAGTCCTGGATGTATTCACATTCCATAAGATGGCATCTCTCTTGATGTACTCTGCCTGCCCCCAGGATTAGCAAGTTACTGGGCTGGCACTGACAGAATCTTTCCTAACTTGGGGTGAACTCGGCCATGGAGTAGTGGCCAGCCCCCCGTTCTGCAGGTCCTATTTCAGTTGCTTGAAATAACTGGTTGTTTTACTGGTGGTCTCATGTCCGAGCCCAACCAACTTGCCCCCTGGATTTCCCATGGTCTAGTGGTCAGTCTAATCATCTTGGAGGACTTCCCTGGGGGTGGATCCCTTAGAGTATATGTTACTGACTTGACGTTGCCCTCCCAGGTCTCTCTCGGGTCCGACCTGTGTGATGTCAAGGCCCTGTGGAATTCTGCCACTAGCAACCCTTCAGCCTCAAGAAAGTTTCCATTAACCACACTGGATCTTTGAAGGTCCCTGGTTGGTGGTGTAATACCCACTCCTGGTAACTTAGGCAATTCTTAAAACCTTGGGATCCAGGCATAACCCAAGCAAGGAAAATAATTTCCTTCAAAAGAAGAAGGAGAAACCCCTCAGCAAGTTAGAGGGGGTGACTTCAAACAAGGGGAGGCATGGGAGGGAGATGGAAGTTGTCTTGGAAAAAATCCCCGCAAACAGTAACAAAAAATAAAACTAAGGAGGCTAATATATAATTACTAAATTATAGGAAAAAACTAGCTCTAAAAGCAAACTTGTAAAGAAGTGCACAATGAAAGTTGCTCCATCTGAGGCTGAAGCTATTGAGAAGGAACTGAGGGCAGTTCGTCTGACACTGCCTTATATATACTTGATATGGGGCATGAGGCTAGCTAGGGTACAGGTGCAGACCAAATGGGCACTGCCTAAGTTCCCTCTAAGCTGCACGGCTGAGCAGCTACTTATTAAGCATCACGCAGGTGCTCAGGGCTGCGGTGGGGAGAGATGCCTCCCCCCAAGCCCCAGAACTGCCATGGTGCCCTGCCCCCTCCCCCAGCCCTGACTCAGCTCAGCCCCAAACCTGCTGCGGCTGGGGGACAGGCGCCCCTACCTTGGCCCCAACTCAGCTAAGCCTGGACCTGCTGCAGCTGGGGGAGAGGTGCTTCTCCCCCCGAGCCCAGGTGCTGCTGTGGGAACAGAGAGCTAAGGGGAGTCCTTTCTCCCCACCATAGCCCCGGAGAGCCCCAGTGCACTCCAAACCCCTATTCTCCAGTTCCACCCCAGAGCCTGCACCTCCAGCTGGAGCCCTCACCCCCGCCACACCCCAACCCTTTGCCCCACCCCTGAACCCCTCATCCCTGGCCCCACCCCAGAGCCTGCAACCCGTCCCACCCCCCAACTCTCTGCCCTAGTCCTGAGTACCTCATCCACGGCCTCACCCGAGAGCCCACACCCCGAGCCGGAGCCCTCTCCCTCCCCCTCTGCCCCCCCACACCCCAATCTTCTGCCCCATCCCACCACATGAATTTAGTTATGTGCACCAATATGGAGGTGATGTGTCACACATCACCTCCATATTGGTGCACATAACAAAATTCATTCCACACATGGGAAAAATTAGAGGGAACACTGGGGACTGCTACCAAAATTCTCTGATCAAAGTCACATGGGGTACATGAACACCTGAAATGGAACCTTAGGGACAATACTCAAAGAAGAAGTCAGTGTTATGCTACATGCTATAAATTTACCCAGAGAAATATGGCCGTAAATATTGGGCACGTGGCACTTACTTGTGTCCATTTAAAGCTGCATGGTGTAAAGCAGTGTAACCCGAACTGTCTGTGCAGTTTATATTTGGGCCTCGCCAGATGCTGCAAATAAAACACAATTGTAAAATTACTGTTTGTAATGGCAAACCAAAATGTTTGAAGATAGGCAAAATTATAATACGAATGTAAAGATCCTGCAATGTAAGTGGCTAATTTATCGGGCACAAATTATCTAGAAATGCCTTGTATGTGGAAAGTGACATATTGATGATAAAGTCATTTATAAAAATCATTTTGCGTACGTTTATCTTATAACAATCTTGAACTTCATGTAGGGCAATTCTTAACGATTAATGACTATTTTGTAATTTCAGTCAGATCTCTTCTTCCAGCAATAAGGTTCTGTTACTTGGAATTCTCTGCTGAATATATTGAGATACATTGTGATTACATATACACCAGTTTTTCACCAGTATAACTTTGTTGACTTCAGTTCAATTACTCCTATTTTATATTAGTGTGAAATTAGTTGTTGCCAATAACCTCCTTTAAAGAGATACTGTCAATTTAAAAATCACATTCTGCCCATTATATGTACTTCTTGTTTTGACAAATAACTGCTCAGATTATATAACTGAAAGATCAGTGAAAAATATTTTCTCTATTTATTAAGCATGCTAACATTATGCATTTGACAGTAATTTTTGTATCATCAGCTTCATTATTTGTCCTTTACAATCAGTTACCCTGTTGATTACCTCGGTTATTCACAAAACAACATGGCAAAAAAAAAGACAGTTATTCACCTTCTTGTAACTGTTGTTCTTCGAGAGGTGTTGTTCACGTCCATTCCAATTAGGTGTGCACGCACTGCATGCACGGTCATCAGAAACTTTTTCCCTTAGCAGCTCCCGTCGGGTCGGTCAGGAAGCCCCCTCGAGTGGCGCCCTTGTAGCGCTCAATATATGACCCTGCCGACCTAACTCCCCTTTGGTTCCTTCTTGCCAGATACTCCGACAGAGGGGAAGAAAGGTGGGTATTGGAATGGACGTGAACAACACCTCTCGAAGAACAACAGTTACAAGAAGGTGAGTAACTGTTTTTTCTTCTTCGAGTGATTGTTCATATCGATTCCAATTAGGTGACTCCCACGGGGGTGGGATCGAAGTTAAGGAATCACTGACTGGAGCACTGCTCTACTGGGAGCTGCATCATCTCTAGCATGCTGTGTGATGGCATAGTGGGTAGCAAAGGTATGCACCAAGGACCAGGTCGCTGCTCTGCAGATCTCTTGGATGGGTATCTGGGCCAGGAAAGCGGTGGAAGAGGCCTGAGCCCTTGTCGAGTGGGCCATTATAGCCAGGGCTGAAACCTTGGCAAGGTCATAGCAGGAATGGATACAATCCATAATCCAGGAAGAGATGCATTGTGAGGACACTAGAAGCCCCTTCATCCAGTCCACGACCGCAACAAACAGCTGATTTGACTTTGTGCACTCAGTGTAGAATGCTAATGCCCTGTGCACATCTAAAGAGTGAAACTTCTGCTCCTGTGCATTTGCATAAGGCTTGGGGAAGAAAATGGGTAGAAAAATGTCTTGGCGGAGGTGGAATTGGGATACTACCTTGGGGAGAAAAGCTAGGTGCGGCCTGAGTTGTACCTGTCCTTTTGGAAGACTGTGTACGGGGAGGTTGGAGGTTAATGCTTTGGGCTCCAATACCCTCCTGGCCGATGTGATTGCCACCAGAAAGACTACCTTCCACAAGAGATACAGACAGGAACATGTAGCAAGCAGCTCAAATGGGGCTCCAATATCACCTACCTAGGACCAGATTGAGGTCCCAAGTCGGTACCGGTGGGCAAAACTGAGGGTATAAGCATTCCAGGCCCTTAAGGAAACGGCCCACCATAGGACTGGTCAAGACTGAACAGCCCAACTCTCCAGGGTGGAATGCTGAGATGGCCACAGGGTGCACCTGGATAGACGATCCGGTCAGGCCTTGCCACTTCAGGTGTAGGAGGTAGTCCAGGATGAACAATATAGATGCCTGGAGTGGAGATACTTGACTGAGATTACAACAGCATGAAAACCATTTCCATTTGGCCAGGTAGGTGGCCCTGGTGGAAGGTTTCCTGCTACCAAGGAGCATCTCCCTCACCGATTCCGTGCACTGGAGCTCCCTTGCGTTTAACCATGCTTCCATGCCGTGAGGTGCAGGGACTGGAGGTCTGGGTAAAGCAGGTGGCCGTGGTCCTGTCTAATCAGATCGGGAAGGAGTGGCAGTGCAATTGTGGTGCTGCCTGACATGTCCAGAAGTGTGGTATACCAATGTTGGCGCGGCCACGCTGGAGCAAGCAGAATTACCTCTGCCTTGTCCCTGCGGATCTTGAGGAGAATCTTGAGGAGAACCTTGAGGAGGAACCTTGAGGAGGATTCTTGAGGAGAACCTTGTGGACGAGTGGTATCCAAGCCACCATGGATGGGAAGAAGGAACCAAAGGGGGGTCAGGTTGGCAGGGTCATATATTGAGCACTATGAGGGCGCCACTCCAGGGGGCTCCCTGGCTGACCCGACGGGAGCTGCTCAGGGAAAAAGTATCCGACAACCATGCACGCGGCGCGCGCACACCTAATTGGAATCGACGTGAAGAAGAACCTTTTTTTTAAAGTAGGAAAATATGATTGTAAAACTACAAAAATCAATGCAGCACCTGAAAGTACTTTCAATTCATTTTTAATTGATTAAATTTCAAAATATGTCCCTTTAAATTGTGGAAGCATTTAGTACTATATTACTTTATCTAATATGGACTTTTAAAAAATTAATGTTTTAACTTTCAGTGCATGGAATTATGAGAATTAAGCAGCTGTCCTGATTCATACCGAGTATGAACATAATTTTCAGCCTTCACAGACAAACAATATTCTTCCTTTACTTCCTTAGGGAATTATGTGCTGTGTTTTCAAAGAAAATGGTCTGAAGCAATTCAGTTAAAAAAACAAATTCTGCTTTTACTGTAGTTTGCTATGACCAAAGTCACCAGACATGGCTGTAGAAATGGCCAGATGTGTCTAATAGATTTTTTAAAACTACTCTTATATTAAGGTCTGTATTTGTTCTCTAGAGATTACCTATTTCCATATTTCAATCTTTTTTCAGTACTTGTGCCTGAATGATTAGTTAGTTCAGAATTATAAATAATTGTATTTTTCCAAGAAGAATATTATAGCCATTCTATATAAATGGCACCGTACATTATGGACAATTTGATTCTATGAAGTGCTAAATACCTCACCTCCCACTGAAATCAATAGAAATTGAGGACACTCAGCCCCTTGCAGGTTCAGGCTTCAAATGTCTTCTTGGAAGTTATTACGAAGCAAAATCTATTTCTTGGTGTCTTTCAAGAATTATAAAGCTGTATTTCAATTTTCCTATGTTCTAACATTATACATACAAGCACTATGTCTATACTTTTTTACCCAGAGATTCTCACTGTGTGTCTAATAATAGGAACTCCAGCCACTTTGAAAATGTTACTCAATATGTCATGAGAGCAACTTGCAGCTGTAAGAGTCACCTTTATCTCTGGACCCTTCAATTAAAAAGTTAATTTCAGCTTCCTGAAGAAGGAAGAATTGAAAGGCATTTTGGCATATTAAAAAATTGACAAAAGAAACATTATTAGATGCTAATTCCTTTCCTCTAAAGATGACATATCCACTAATTTGTCACTGATGGCTGTACTTAGGCTTAGCCTCCAGACAAATCAAAGAACAAAAATTGTTTCCATTCAATAGAAAAAAGACGGAGTATCTCTAATTCAATGCTATGTAGAAAAAAACCAGACCAAAAATTGTTTTCATCTCAACATATTTGATTCCTTATTTTTAAGGTGTCAATTCAATAAATAGTTGTTCATGGGATACTAACTTTTCCTCTTTTTTGCTTTATTACTTTCTCTAAGAGTTATCTTGAATTGCTTATTACTTTGCTTTAGAGACAACTGATGAATGATGGAATCATTTAGAAACAAATTCTTGCCATTTAATTTCTCTTCTGTGAAATCAACACATTTATTAGGCCAAATATACCCTTAAAAATGTATTTTACAGCTATTAATATAGTACTTAATATTTTACTGTTTTAGTTTTTCTTACGCAACACTGAAAGAATGTATTCAAAATACAGCTGAATCTAAAATTATTAAGGCCTTTATTCTGAAAACACTTAAACATGTCCTTAGATTTAAGTACATGTGTATTTTAAGTACATGAAATCCATAACTATTGTACAAACTATGTACTTAAAATACAAAACTATTGAAGTCAATAGGATTAGTCATATGCTTAAAGTAAAGCACATGCTTATTTGTAGGATCAGGGCGTATATTGTTAAGCCCAGACTGTGTACCGAGGGCCATAGCTAAATTTTTCAAAAGTAGAGTTGACCAGAGGACAATAATTCCATTTTGCAATGATTTCGAGGTTTCATATTATGTTTTTGTTCTGGATTGGAATCAAAACAAAACCTTTCAAACATTTTTGTGAAATGAAATTGTATCAAAAAGTCTGGTTTTGGATTGAAAAGGTCAGGTTCTCAAGTCAGCTTTCAGACCATCTCTTGCTCTCTCTCTCTCTCCAAGTGCCTTCAGAGCTGGGAGACCAGAGAACAGCAGCTGCTGATTGGGTACCCAACTCTGAAGGCAGCGCCGCTGCCAGCAGCAGCGGAGAAGTAAGGGTGGCATGGTATGGATTGCTACCCTTACATCTGTGGTGCTGCTAGTGGCGGCACTGCCTTCAGAGTTGGGTGCCCAGACAGCGACCACCGTTCCCTACTCTGCCTTCAGAGCTGGGTGGCTGTATATGTACTTATGTGGCAGGAGTGGGGTGGGGATGTAAACGACTACAGACACAAAGAAGGGGGACATGATCAAATAAGTTTGAGAACCACTATACTAGACTATGTGGAGAGACCCTTTCTTTAAATACATTTTCAGCAATGTAGATGTCAGAGATGATAACCTCGCTCTGAGACTTTTGGGCTGTTTAAGAAAACAATTAGGGAGGAATTAGGGAGGTGGCTTGGACCTCTCTCTCTC